CCCCATGGCGTCAGCATTTTGATGATGAATCATGGCGTGGCAGCGTTACTTGAGTCGACCTTCTGTGTACCTTATTCTGTGCCGATACCACACGATCAATCTCGTTTCCAGGGCCTCGCGCGACCTTCATCGGCCCTAAAGCAGTTGATCTCTTCTAGCTGACTCTTCCGAAAATTAAGGCTGTCTTAATTGTAAAAAGCGTTCAAATTAAGACATTGCCTTAATTTGAACCCTAACCCCCACCTCTAACCTTAATCTAATCTTAGTCTCACCATAATCTAATCCAAATCTGGCAACCTTTTTTTAAAATTTTCAACGAGTGACCGAGTAAAAATGGCTCTGGGGACGAGATTGCCACACAATGACAAACTGCGGCCACAAATTGACAGCTAAGATCTTAACAAAGCATGCGAAAATAGATCAAAGTAAAGCAAAAAGCCACGATGCCAAGTAACGAATACTCGGCAACGTGGCTATTATTCTATGTATGCAATTTCTGGTCGTGATTCGTCGCAAACAGGCATACTCTGGGTACGAGGGCGGTCGGATACAATACTCAACAGCCAAAGGTATTTTGTTTAAATCAACGAAGATTTAGGAGATGGAAGCAACTCCAAGTCCTTATTTATTTTTGCAAAACTAAATCTTTTCTCTTGCTCAAATAAATATACACTTCATTTTTACTGTAAATGCAATAAACGCTGCAATAGGACAAATTGATGAGACACCACCCAACGTAATAAAACGCAAACGTTCTTATTCATATACTTCCATATTAGAGTCTTTAAATTTTTCCTCCTTCATACAACAACGTTCAGCTGGTAAACTGTCATATATTTGTCACATATAGTTCATTCTCAGCAGTTCATCGGCATGGTAGATCATTTTTCATTTACAACATATATAAAATATACCCAGTAACCACTACTTTAAGTCTTAACTACACTCTCTTTGTGTCATATACATTGTCATTTGGTCATAAAATAGGCATAATGCTAAAGTACATATATACGATTTTTTCTAACCAACTTTGCAATCATTTTACAAGCGATAACACCAAAACTTCTTTCATTGACAGTATTGTCCATTTCGCCAACATATATATAAAATTATCGAATCTTCAAAAATGCTTAAAGTGTGTTTAACAGAACTTCAAAAATTTTATATGAATATCGATGTATTTCCAAATAACATGAACGTCTTTTAGCGAACTATTTCCAAATAATATGAATGTCTTTAAACAGAACATTTAACACCTAGGTATATCTCTTCTTGTTTTGGTACGAGGGTTTAGTCCCACGATTCATCTCCACCAGTGTTTACAGAGTTAGTGTTCCAATCATCACCACCTCCCCCGGCATTGTTACTGGAGTCATCAACCCCCCAGGCGTCATCTCCACCGCCGCTATTACCACCGAAATCATCGTTGCCTCCACCGCCACTATTGCCTTTGTCAAACTGCAAATTAAAAACATGCGAAATTTCAAAACTGGATACTTTGATATTGGGTGATATTGAGCATTAGTATAAATTTTGATATCAAATGAGCTTTCGTGCGTTCTGATTGGGCTTTCGCGCGTTCTAGTTGACTAGTAATTAGTAAATCTGACGCATTATTTGCCAGCAGACTAGTAAATAATGCTTTTCAAAAAGAATGATTCGGCAAATTTGGTTTCAAAATCGACAAAATATTGAAAAAATCGTCCCAGAAAACGAAAGAAGCACAAAATGTTGTATTTAACTTGACAGGTAGGATTCCTATATTATTTTACTGTGTCAAACATATTCACGGACAATTTAAAACTTATTTAAAACTCCGAAAATTTCACTTCAAACAAATAGCAAAAACTATCCCGACTGTTGAGAAAAACCTTGCCGTGATATTCTTTTAAATCCATTTTGTTTTGTATCCTATAGATTTCTCAATTTGTACGATACTATTTCTTTTGATATGTCATGTTTTCATTGTGCTGTATGGTGTTCTGACCGCTGTATTGTTATTAAAACTTTATTTCGAACGATATAGTTTTACATTTCATTTTACCAAATTTTTCAGCCATTTCCTGAAAAAAATAATACTAAGCAGAAACTATTTTTTAAAATAGTTTTCAACTATTTTTTCTGGTGAAAAAGTCATTCCGTTATTGTGTTTATATTCTAAGCAGAAATCGAGAAAAACAACTTTGTAATATAGCAATAAAGTCACACAAGAAAGCGTGTGCGTACAAGAAACACTGCAACACTATTAGTGATATTTTGATATATAACTGATATTTTGTTTTATTCATTATATATTAACTAAATTACTAAAACAATTATTCGCCTCAGGCTCAGTGAATATTCACCGATCATCACTTCGCATAATTAAATAACAAATGTTCCAGTGTCTTCAGGAGGGTCAAGATTGCGTGTACGCGTAAGACACATTAGAGCAGGACAAATTTCGTTAAACCAGGGATGGATTTACTGGGGGGAGGCCTAGCCAGAGGTGGAGGATGGGGGGGCTATTTTTCATGATAAAGCAAAAATATATTAGAGACAAAATAAGTAATAACATGATGATTTATTAGTGTGAACTGTGAACAACAATTACAATTCAAATACAGTAGTCAAGCAAGACTTTGCCGTAGTCGCTGGCAGAGCACAGATCATGCTGGATCCATCCCTGCGTTAAACACAGAATTACCTTTCTCGTGTCACGTCCGCCAAAACGACCCCCTGCAGGACCATAGTTTGTTCCAATTGCGTTTTCGGCTTGTTCTTCTAACCAATCTGGCACTTCTTGTTCAGCCTGGAATTTACAGCAGTTGCTTTTCAATAGTATATTAAAAATAGTGCGTACATCTTTTTATTGTCCATTAGCGTAGTGCGACGTACATCCGTCACAACGAACTATGCAACTATCTGCGTTGGATGATATTGCATTTCTAGCTCGTTCTGTACAATTCAAATGTACAAATACGGTATAAAACGAACTCTGAAGAAAATCTCGGCAAGATCTGTCCGGTGGCCCAATTTAGATCCCGCTGTTCTCGCTGCTTCGTTTGGATAGTAGATAGCCTTGTGTTTACACTAAAGCTTGGTTTTCATTTCTTCGTAACTGTCGTGACCACATCATGTTGAACGATGTTAAATAGTCTGGACTCTGGATCTATGTCTTGTCCTTAGGCGAGATTTTTTTTATTTATTGGTTTACGGATTTTACTTGGAAAAAAACAGGTCGATAGGTCGGAAATTTTTTTTAAAAAAAACATTGTTTTTCAAGATTGTCACAACGATAACATGAGCCAGTAGTACTTAGAGTCAAAGTTTACTTGGCGTGTACTTCATGTCAGAACCCCAAATTAACTAACTGTTGACATCCAATATTTTTTTTATTTTTCACTTTCTGAATATTTACGGTCGGCGGATCCGTAAAACAATGAATAAAAAAAGTCTCGCCTTAGTGCGGTTGTATAAACAAATCGCTCTTTACGGACTGTAAAGAAATATCATTGACATAGACGGATTTTCATATTTTTTACTGGGGTGGTGCCAGAAATTTTAGGGGGGTGAGCCGTGAGTAGGTGACCGAAGCAACACAAAGTGTCACCAAACCCCAGTAAGGTCTATATTCTAGGGGTGGAGCACTAGAGCCGCGAGGGGGAGTTTAGAGAGCAGAAAACAAAGTATCCCTGGAAAAATTTGAAAAAAATCATGATTTCTAGCTTCGAAAAAAAGTTTTTTGAAGAGTGTCATATCAATGGATTTGGCATGTCCGATTGTCTGTTGAGACTTGAGAGAGTTAAAGTTAAATGAACCTGTAACAGTGTAAACCCAATAGGCCAATACACAATATGCTTTTACTTTTATAAAGTCATTAACATTGTACGTGTCATTTGAATCAGAGTACAATTTATGATGCAACTCTGATGTAAATAATATTTGGGGCGTAAAGATTAAATCTAGGCAAGTCTATTTCCTAAAAGAATTAAAAACTAAAAATAATGTTCGTAAAAATTCCAAATGTTCCTTGCAAGCAAGCTATTTGCATGACAAGGCACTACAAACTCTATTCAGGGGAGATAATAGAGTTTCAAAACTTTACAATTGCTCCAATAAACCAGTGAATGCAAGCGAGGAGCGATTAGTTTCAGAGTGTTGCACTGTCTTTTTCTATACGAGTGTACTCCTACGTTTATTTTGCACCATCAACACTCTGCACGTTGGAGTGGACTATTTAATTATTTTTTATTATGCCGAATATTGGGGGGGGTTGAAAATATTTTTGGAGGGGTGGACATTTTGTTTGAGGGGGTTATAGCTAATATTGGGGGGGGGTAGCACCCCCCCCCCCCACTTCGGTAAATCGAAGTTTTCGTTGTGTTTTATTATCTATTTAAAACAAGACGCTCTGTAGAGCGTTAACTCGCTGGGCTATACAAATACGCACATTAATGTTGTTCCCGAACTAAGCGGAAAAGTCGAATACGAACGCAAAAGGCTGTTTAACACAGTACTAAAATGCGGTGCTCTTCCGGCGTTCCGTCTGCAAGTAAAGTTATATTTCGTACGCTGTAATCTATATACATTCTTTTGTCGGCCGCCAGTTGGTCCGTACGCAAGGATGAAACTGCGCATTAAAACGTTCAAAGGAAAATATTTGTGGGCTTTTGGGCTCAAAATACTATCAAGATGAAGAGAGAAGTGAGACGAATCCACTGGTATATGGCCGAAAAAGAGAAAACCAACGATACCAAAGTTATCAAGGATCAAACGCACTGCATTTTTAATTAGTTTAATAATTTTGAGCGATTTATCAACAATACAATTTACAATACAAAGACAAAGGCCGTAAATCACTAGAATACTGTTGTTTATATACTGTAGTATAAATACATTTGACATCCGTAAGTACAATTTCTTACGCTGAATCGAACGGTGGTATTTTTATCCTTTATGTATTGCGCCATTAGGCATTTATACAAATACAATATCATGT